TAAATAAATCTTTTGGCGCTTCATTGGCCTGAATAAGAAGATAAAATTACATAAGCTTTTAAGAAACTGCAAAATATATAGTTAAGTAGTTTTCTGATTTATTGTTCAGCTGGATGACTAAGGAAAATAAAAATAGTAAGTCAACTTGATCGTGTCCTTTTTCTACAGTGCCTAAAGGCTAATAGCAGGAGTGACCAAAAAATGGAATTAGAACCTGATTCGTCTTAGGCAACTTTAGTTAAAGTAGGACCTGAAAGTTGAGCTTCTTAACAATGAGTAGGCCTCAGTATGCCTGTCTTCTAAAACCCTTCATATTCTTCGGGCGCAGTTTAAATCTTGCCCTCGTCTTTATCTGTATCTCTGCAAAATTAGAAATCAGCCCTTGAACACTAAACAGCAATGTTGCCACCCCAAGAGCCAATATGTTACATACTAGATGTAGTTTTTAAGGCAATTCAGGCTTCTCTTGCTTCATTTTTTGGTTGGACTAGCATCGGCAAAGTACGCTTTTAGGTGTCATCATAATCATTAATACAAACTGCTTGACTAGGTTTCGGACCCATAGTCAAGATTTCCTTTTAGTTCCGAAACATGCCTGGTCCTGATATGAGATAAAAGCATGTGCAAGCAATGCTCCTCATAGCAGTTGAGATGGTTTGAGATAATGAGAATTGGCCGTTGTCGTAGTAAGCCTTTAATGGAGAAATCTGCCGGTAACTATGGCTAAGGCTGTCTGCTGGGGTTACTGCCCGCTAGGGCCTTCCGTGCCCCGAAGCAGGTAGGTGTTAAAGCAATGAGCTTCTGCGACCAGCCTTATCTCCGAGGCCTAATCCACGCATGAAGCATTGCGGGTACGGCGAGGGCTTGAGGATAATGGGAAAGGGAGATATCGTCGCTTGTGGGCCGTTAAGAGAATTATTCGATTTGGATGCTGGCGTTTTGGATCTTCGTGCAGGGCTACCTACTAAAAAGGTCAGACGCCAAGATTTACTCGGACGAAGGTAACGCAAAAAAGCTACTGGCAAGTGTAAGCACAAGCTGTGGGACTATGCAAGTGTCGTAGCTATGCTAGTATC